CATTTCTTACAGATCGTTCGATTGATATTTATAAAAGTTTAGAATGATTGAAAATTTGAAATGAAATACAAACATTCATTTCGTCTTTTTTCTTAAATATTTCGTATACAGAACTACCTTTATTATAGAGAATTAATTAATACGAATTCCATCTTTAACGTTTAATTTAAATATTATAAATTTAACGATATGTGTAATTTATACGATATTATGTTAAAATTATGAACACTTTATAGTGATAATATTTAGCTCAATATAGTTTCGATAATTTAACGTAATTTAAAACACACATAGATAATTTACGTATCCGCGAGTAATTCGTTTGTAACACAGAAATGGATCGTTTAATCGTGTAATTGATTTATATGTCCAGTTACACTCCAACTGCTATCGTTTCATAAATTTTAGTGTTGCGCATACGTATTGCGTATTATAACGACCAATAGATACAGAAGAAGCGTATTAATTATTAACCGTTTAATCACGTGTTAATTTCACACGTTACAATTTCACAATAAATTACTGGCTGTCGGTACAAAGGAAATTCGTTAAGAAACTTCGCATTATACCGATCGAACTATACCGATCGCGTTAATTGAGAAGAAAAATATTAACAGAGAAATGAAGTAGATTAAAATCAGCTGAAAAATGTCGAAAAGCGTGAAATTCAAATCTGTTTGACAGACGAATGATAAATTGCACATTGTCTACACTGGAGAAAAATATTTGATTGTTAAACATGATTTACGGTTCCACCGGTACAAACTTGTTATCCAGTGAAAAGTAACAAGATTCTTTCTCGCTGCAAATAAATCATCGATGACAATACAATTGAGAGTAGACTCCATTTACATTCGTTCTTTTAAATCTTAAAATAATTAGATTAATTAATGTAATTACGTTTATGGCATTCGATTCAAGTTACTGCTTGTTTCAATTCAATTCAATTTCTCAGACTTGCTTTTAACGACAGGAAAAGTTCTACAAATTAAATGGTTTATTAGCGAATGTTTAGGAGGTAACGATGAATTACCAGATGCAGGAAACTCTCCACGGGAGGAAATATTTAGCGCAGAGGCAAAGAACGATCGAAACAATAGAAAATTGTTGACAATAGAATCCTCGTGACAATAGAACGTAGAATAGAATAGCGGACAACGATTTCACGATGATAGAACCAGAATGGACAATGAAGGAGTAATGACAATAGAAAATTCTACATAATGATTCGTTATATGTACATGTATAAATATTAAGAACTTATGGAATTTACATCTTCATTGCCCGATTTCACTCCTCCGTTAACTTCTGCTTCAACCAATTACCCATGAGAATCAGACAATTATTAGTTTTGTTTATAATGCTTCAGGATGGATTTCACTTAATAGCCCCTTATTTAGAATGGTTAATTTAGCGGAAAGACGTGCTTAGGGGATCGTTAGATGGCGGACGAATTCCTTATACTGTAGACAGCAGGAAGTGAGGTGGATTGGGTTGAAATGGAAAAGAAGAGCGCTGTGTATTTAACAGTTTAATTTTTGGTTAATGGTAATATT